CCCCCCCCCCCCCCCAGTGAATGAGAGACGTGAAAATTAGATTCGTTGAAGTCCATATTTTGATGACATACGTGCAGGTAGACGCAATCTAAATAAATCTGTCATTTCATGAATCGGAGTGTTGATGAGCAACCGATGTACGGTCCACAAATGTGGTGACTATTCCTAACACACTAAAATTGCCTTAACTAAGTTTAGGAGTGAACAGATAAGCACCGAACGAATGGTGCCCAGAAAACCAGTTGCCAAAAGCTAGGGATACAAAAACTTATATTTTCTTGTTAGCTAAAGGGCATAGGGTAAACATAAACGCCTTCGCATCCTAAGGAAAGCAAAGCACCGCGCTAAATTCCAGTGCAACAAACTGTCAATTTGTCGAGATATAGATAGCTTGAATGTGTTCACTGGTGGCTGATCAGATGGCAGTTGATCAGTTCGCCGAGCTTGGCAATCGGCTTGCAAACGTTTCGCCTTCAGTCGAGGAGACATCAACACCACTCAACTGCGCACTGACGATGTCTCCCCGACTGGGAAAGGTTTGCCAGCCAATTGTCAAGCTCGGTGAACAGATCAACTGCCATCTGATCAAACACTGATGCAACAAACTCCTAATGGTACCAGAGAAACATACCATGAAGCGTTTGTAACGGACGGGATGCCACGGGGCCAAATGTTGTTGTTGTCGGAATAAAACGTCAGGATCGTTATCCGTTGGTCTTCGACGGACGCCGATCTGGCCACGCAGATTACCCGGATCGTTCGATTTCAGACGAGCTGATACAACTGTACTTGTAGTTGGTGTTTGGGACGTGTTTGCGTGGTCTTGGCTTTCAGGGACACGTGACTTTTCTGAACCAAAAGAGGAAAAAGGATGTTCCACATTCCGTAAAATCGCCAACGATTTAAAGTATGCCTAACTGACGCACAAGGTATGTAAAAGTTTGCACTTTCTACACCATAAGCGATAGATGAAACATACTCACTTTTCGAAATATAGTTAGAAGACACGTGACTGACGTGTGGTGTACATGTATGGAGTAGCTCTGGATAAAATGTGCAAAGTTCCTCTACAAGTAGAGACCTATGGCCTACTGTGGCACGTGACCGAGATTCCTACAGCGGCAAACGCAGCCGCTGGAATAGCTACAAATTCCAATAATTGAGCTATGGTGATAGTTCTTGAATCAGAAGTAGCACTTAATTTCTGTACTAGAAAAGAGCAGAGCGACTACGGAAGGTTAAGAACAAGCAACTCGAGAAGAAGTCATTTCGGTCTGCATCAAACAATAAATCTTTGTGAAAGACGGACTAGAATTGGTTGCTCTAGCTATCGCAGGAAAAGTTAAAACGCGTTCCGAATCGACTCAACGCGCCCCCAGCACATCAACCATTCGAAGATTCCGTGATTTTTGATGCTTAGCGACTAATGACAGTCACCATTTGTTCTGTAGCATCTGATGGAAGAATGCGGTTCAGTCCTAACCATACCATTCAGAAAAATAGCAAACTGCTGGCGAGGATGGTCTAAAGTTACAAACTGCCAACAAAGTTCGGAATTAGCTGGCGTCTCTGAAGGCTGGATGCGCCATCAGTTAGACGGACTGCCATAACCAACCTGATCAGGTTTAGCGTCCCGTTGATATACATCTATACCCGGAGACTATCTATACATGGAAAAGCACGTCCTGAAGACGCTGTGATTAGGCTTATTGAACTTATACAAGTGCCTTCAACATATTTGTATCTGTGATCAAATCTGTCCTCATTCATAACAGAGATTCCGGCAACCAGAATAAGCCATTCTGGTTCCACACGGCATACACGTTATATGTTGAAGAGAGGAACCCCAAGAATCAATCACACATTCACGCGACCTTGTTGATAATCATCCCTTATCAACCCCTGTTTGTTTTTTATCTATCCCTGATAACTCAGTTAAATCCGAAGAAATGGCTTCTGGAGAAAACCTATTCTACGACGAGCGTGAAGAAAAGCAATTCCGACAATATTAGAAAGATAGCCCTAGATCAGGGGGATTGATAGCAGAGTTCCGCCTTTATCCAAGAGAAGCCAGACCGCACGAGAATCTGCAATGACTTATCCCAGTAAATTTGCCACAGGTATATTTTTTTTATCTCCAAATAGGGCGAACCGATTCCCTCCAATCTTCGTAACCTTACACTAACAAAAAAGTGGCCAAAACTTCCTGCTACCTGCACCAGTGACCCCATCCTTCAGTTTAGAATGTCAGTGCTAAGAACTTGCGCAATTAGACCCGCAACCGCACATAACTCTTGGAGCAGAAACCATTCAGCAATGGAAACTAGTTTAATGGTATCATTAAAGAACTGCCATCAGTAGACCTAACTAAATGTGTCTGTAGAGTTAAGACCAGATGTCTATCAGTTATCGCCTTTGAGAATGGAAACAAGGCTGGGGCTCAACTTTCACGCTTGAGAAAACTTAGGCTCTTCATGTTACCGCTGTTCATGAGAACCGCGCGGAAACACTGCAATTCAAATCCCGTGACGCGCACATATATGTCGCGTGGAAGAAAAGTGGAACCACGCCAATACAAAGACTAATTATGGTTGATTTCTTGGAGTCGCTTTTGACTTGTGGGATACTACTAGAGGATAATATCACACCAGGGGTACCCTTTTCGTGGATCCTTTCCTGGGTGGGTGTCAGGAAAGAATAACTGTATCTGCGGCAGGCGACCCTAAACAGGGTGGTACAGCATGTGGGCAAAAGCATAAGCGATTTCCGAGTTGTCTAAAATCCGACAAGTAAATTGAAAAACAGCATCGAATCCGATTTCGAAAGCATGATGGAACGCACAGATCATTGTTGAAATCAACATCCTTGCATTGTGATAAACAAATTCAAGGCAATCTTCAATCCTCTAACTACCCGTGCAGTTCGTCATCCGCTTGAGGCGCAACGTCAGAGTAACGCCGTAGAAAGTTCATGTCTCACTTTGTAGCGCAGAATCCCACCCTCAAAGCAGCGTCACGCAAATGATTGGTTCACAAATGTTCACTTCACAAGGTCAGTCGGACAGCGTCACGTGACCAACTGGTAACGTCAACAGCAAGGAACTGGGATGCTGTGGCTAGATCCCCCAAGCGATTTTCCTATTTTCAAGAAAGAATGCTATTTTCCTTGCACTTCCAGCCTCGTGATGCTTTCATTCGTTTTCGAAGGAGAAACGTGAATCATGGGAGAATAAATAACGTTTAACAACACATTGTCAGCTGTGCTACAGGTCATTCGCAGCAAAATAATATGACTGACTAACGTGGAAATGATTGAGGGCTCCGGTTTCCAAGGCGGTTTCTTCTTTGGCCTGCGGCCTTTATTTCATTATACCTCAAAAGGAAATAAACTAACTTATTGCAACAAGCTCCATTGGAACTAGCGATATACGTAGACCAACTAAGGAGGTTGACTACGGAATGAAAGATTTTAGGAGTTATAGGCGTACCATACCTTCTACGAACAAACTAATATCAAGTCAACGTCAAAAATGCTTGATTTCAATAAACGCCAAAGGAGCTTTGGAAAATCTTAAGAAAGTTAACACCTGGAAGGATAAAACTACTCAGGTAAGTGATTTTACCAACCGTCTCCAACATCACGACCAAGTTTGGCGTAAGGTCCACCCATTCTTTGGTCCGCATTTTCCGTTTAGGTGGGAAAAACCTCCCAAAAGCTTGATATCAATATTCAGGTAATTTTCTGTTGCGTTGCTTGGAGCTCGAGATAGTACAGTGGTTGAGACACGAACTTACTGACCAGCTCTTAGTTCTATTTACACAGGCGAGCCCCATACGAACCGGGATACAGTTGGTTCCTAATCAAGTGTTCCAGAATTAACGATAGTTGACCATAATGTGATTGGTCTATGTGCTCACTACTATGCGGTCCGGTGTTGGAGATAAGTTCTAGTGATAAGTAGATGATCAGCACAAGGCGAATGAAACGGCTGCCACTGTCAGCCCCAGAAGGATACACAACAAATCTACCGCCAAGTATTGTTCATCAATTCCATCAGCATAACGGCTTATATCACCGTCATCCGGGGGGCGGGGGGAAAATTCAGAAAGATAACTTAAAAGTTAACATAGATCATCTTACTGATTCTGTAGTCTGGGGCACATACAGGTACAGCAAACAAGTTACGCGGCTCCGGTCGTTCTTTTCCGACTCTGAGATACCCAGCTGATATAACTGTACACAGTGGACTGTTTACTACACTCGAAGAACGGGAAGCGTTTTCAGACCTCATGCCGAGGGCAATTCCATACATGAGCGAAACTATAGGACGCTGGTAATGGATATTCGAAACCACGGGGATAAATCGTGGACAACCATAGCTGGCTCAGGTTGTGTTGGAATGTAGGACAGCTGTGCATCCTTGTGCGCGTATTTCAGAGATACGCTATACACTGAAATCCAGCGAGGACAAAGCGAGGGATCTGTTGGATTTTGAAACAGAGTCCGTATACAGAACCCCACAAAGTTGAAGAAATTTCTTAGATTGAAGATGTACGTTTGGTTCCTATTTTTAGGCACAGAGCAGGTACCAGTAACTGAATTCGAATACAAGAAGCAGAGGGTCATACCGTGCCAAAGACGTGAGTCGGATTGGAGTGGCAGATGAGAATGAATACTCGATGCTCGGATGCTGGTTGCCCAGAGCGAAGAATAGGGTTCAACTGAGACACCTGACTCTCCCTTGGCTCCCATGGAGTGGTTGAACCCGATTCCCAGGGGTTGTAAACTCAAAGGTTATTGCGGCACTGAAGCTCAAACATCCTCATTTAATAAAAGATTTAGGTCAGCAAACTAATAGACAGCAGAGTAAATCCAAAATTCAGAGAGTACCACTCCACGGAACACTGTCTTTCGGTTTTAAAGGACACGAGAACTAAACGGAGAAGAATGCCTGATCAACAGTTACTTTGAGATGCGCAAAACCTTCGAATGAATACGTTAGGTTGGAGTAGCATATTTTACTATTCTCGATTTCAACGTAGACAAGCAGTTTGGAATCAAGTATACAAATGACTCACGAAAGACTGAAAAACATATTGATCAGCGCAGTCAAGAAACACGTGTTTTCTTCGAAACAAAATTAAGGGCTCATGCGAAGAATAAACAAAAAAATTAATAACACTCATCTCGAAAACCCAGTTGAATGCTGTGAGAAAATAGGCTGCAAAGAAACCTGACTTTTGTGTAGGTTGCCACGACGTGGTAAAGTGACTCACACTCAAAAGCCGTCCACCCCCAAATCCAAAAATCAAAATCACTCAGCAGTAGCACCCTTTCAGTGCATAACTGCCATGCTAACCGGAGGAAGAACGAGGGCTGGAACACTGTCAGATTGCCCAAGCCTAGACAAGGGAAGTCGGGAGGCAGATGTTGGGTTCGAACCACGAACCTTACGTTCATTAAGCTCGCGCCTTAACCACTGAGCCATCTCGCCCCAAGAATGGCTAGATTCCTAATTCTTCAGCAGCAGTCCATTTAGAAGGGCCGACTGCGGTTAGCTAACTCGTGACAGTCCCATTTGGAAAGGGATAAAACATCGCCGTCGCGGCTCAGTATCATAAAGCCATAAGCACTTTTTTATATGATTTAAGGAAGTCCTGAATCGAAAATGAAACCAAAAGGTCTTACAATTGCGGACGTTCCGTCCAACAGACCGAATGCGAATTGGCGGAAGTAAAGTGGTTAGGATTAATTGGTGTCCACATTTCCTCATGTCTCCAGTGTCACGCAGACTTCATCCTGGAAGAAAATACCAATAACCGTAAAAAGTGACTCTAAAACCTTTCGTC